AAAATAAATATCACTGGTAAAGAGTTTAAGAGTCAAGTGAAGATTTTGTCATATCGAAAATAATTTTTATGTGAGCGTTATTTGAAAAGTTTATTTCGTGCATAAAAATTTAACTTACGAGCTTGTTGTGATTCATTGCTAAGAATTGAAGTGTTTTACCTTTACAAGTGAGTTCAAACATATAATTCTAATATTTTCAATTGATTTGCCGCGAGTGCTTGATTTGTTGCCATATTTTGAATTTGGCACAAGTGCTTGATTTGCCTCCGATTGTTTTTGATGTGAGTGCTTGATTATTTCCAAACTTGATTATGAATGCTCGATTTCCATGAAGTTCGCAACATGTAACAATGAAGAATAAATGTTATAGATAAAAGATACCTTTTTGTTATAATCAAAACATAGGATGAACCATAGGTCAACATCTTAATGAATGAGCAACACATAGCTATTAAACTTGGACTGGCTTTTTGAATTTGAATTGAGGATTGGTGAACCAATCCCTATATTGGCCTGAGTACTCGGTTTGGACTTTATTTGCAATTGAACAAGTTGACCAGATTCTTTCAAAACTTATAAAAGGATTTTGTCACTTTGTCAGAAGAATTGTAACAGATGCTGTAATGTAATCGATTTGATGAAAAAGTTGACTGCGTTTAAAACAATCCAATTATTAAACGCCATATGACATTATGTCAAAGATTATGGCACTGTAACATGATTGCTTATGAAAAGGCTTTAATTTGTCTTGAAGGCAAGACCTCTACGATAATATGATGAGCAACACCATTATTGTCTAGTCCATTGTAATGTTCAAGTTGCTAATACAATACATATAAACAATGACTAATACTATTTATTTAGATTCATTACATGGCAATTTAGTGTCATTCATTAACTTGCCATCATAAACGAGACTTGTATCCCTACATTTTAAGTGATATATCACTTAATGCCATTTAATTGCAACCAAACTCACGTTGATCATGTCTAGATAAATAGTGACAATCCTTGTGTGGGGGATGAACCATCAGAAATCAAGTTTAAAGCTCTCACCTTACCAACGAGCTGACAACTGATGGTTGTTGGTCATGACTATTACCAAAAAGTTCCAATGAAAATGAATATTTCACAAGGAGGTGTGTGCGCATCTTTAGCACCTCCTCTTTCCCAATCTACATCCGAGTAACTTCCTCAGAGGACCAATTGGATGACAATTTCGCTCCTGTTTCCTCTATCTTCCCTTGCATGAAATGAAAAATCTTATTAAAATCATCACTCAAATTTTTATCTTTTGTAAAAGAAGAAGGCTGCTTACAAAAAATTCATTTCCTATATATGGAAAAC